CGGAGTACATCGAGATGAAATACTACATTTACTAAGGAATTCAAAGCTGAATAAAATAAAAACATCTGCCCTGAAGATAAGGATAGTGTTGACAGATCAACTTCCAGTTCATTGCGCTGCAACGTTCCCCCCTAGCAGAGCAGCGTGAAATTGATAATTTCGGAATGGTTAGAGAAACAAGGATATGCCTTTATCCATTTTTTGCAGCAATTCCACTTTTTGTTTGATGGATATCGACACATGCTTTCGCTTTGTAGATCCTTTGGCAGGTCCAGAATCGGAAATTCTTTTTGACACAATCGAAAGTTCAAGTTTACTTTTATAAAATTGCTCTAACAGTCTGCAAAAAATAATAAGCCGGACCCTATTAGAAGATTAAGGAACAACTCAATCTGCAACATTAACTGAAATAGATAATTTTAGCTTAGCTTATACCATCCGTTATACATTAAACGCGCACGTGTAAACGTATTGTTACGAAACGTACAGGCGCGGTGAGATAGCTTCCCCGCAAAGCAATTTTGAGGTTGCCACATTTGGCAAGAAATTGCCCATTTGGGAACAAAATTGGTGATATACCATGAACGGTTGGAGAACCTTCTGGAACGAATTCTTACCGGTTTAGCCCAGAATGTTCCCGAACACAAACCGAAAGCTATATAAACCCTGCTGGTCCGCAGTCAAAGTGCATCTCTCATTGAATGAGTGTGTCTCCTCTAGCGAGTCAATCCCTGCGGAGGCGATCACCTTGACAGCCAGCCAGCGAGTGCCGAGTGGGTCGTTGAGTGCACCGAAAGAGTCTCGTAGAGTATCGCGGTTAGTGCACCGTCGAGAGAGTGCGTTGAGCTCTAGAAACGACTGAACCGAAGAGTCAAGAGCTGTGCTCTGTGTGTCATCGAGTGCATCGCGAGTTGTAGCATAGACAGTCTAGAGAGTACGTGGAGTTCTGTTCTGAGAACAGACAAGCATCGTGTTCGAAAGCAGAGTCGGCTTGCAAGGAGAGCTGTCTCCACCCTGATAGTCTGATAATTTGAAAGCTGTATCGCTGATCGTGTCAGCGTGTTTATAGTAGTTCATCAACGACTGTAAAACGTGTTTTGGAGCTGTCCTGACAATACTGGCAAATAAAGGGTGTTTCGATACTTCATCAAGTGTCGTCATTTTTAACTCCAAATCCACATGAACCCTATACGAATTTGAAGGAAGAAAATAACGCAACAACTGGTGTCAGAACAGAAGAATTAGGGTAGTTACGTAATTAACGCCAACGCATAACCAAGCAAAACGCAAAAATTTGAGAGGAAAAAGTTTTTTGTAAAAAGAAAAAATAACACTGGGCGTGTACTACCACAGCAATGGGTTTTCGGCTGAATTTGCCGAGAAAAGAAAGAGACTTTTTTGGTTACTGTACCTAACAGAAGTGCCGTTACCCTCATGGAAAAAATTTGCGAAAATATCAAGGAACGAAGCATCATTTATTCGGATTGCTGGAAAGGATACAATACAAGTGAGTTCAAAAATGCTGGATTTCTGCATGGAACTGTTAATCACAAATATAACTTTGTGGATCCCAGCACGGGCGTTCACACACAACATGTAGAGTGCATGTGGGGCTCAGCCAAATGGCGCAACAAAAAACAGAGAGGAACAGCCCGTCATCATCTTCACTCATACCTTATCGAATTTATATGGCATCAAGCTCAAGCTGTTAATGGCGAAGACGGTTTTCAATCAGTGCTAAAAGCAATAGCCAAAAGATTTCCGCCGAAAAAATAACTCCGCAACTTATTCAAATTCGAAACCGGAAGGGTTTAATTGCTATTTTATATTTTAAAACAAAATAATATAAAAAACTGTATTAAAAATTATCTGTAATTAATAAATGTACATTTTCTTTCTATTCATACTTTTTTACTCAAACTTACAAATCGCGCCAACCTGGTTGCGATAATACGTAAGTACCAGAATTAGAAATTACGTAACAGTATTATGCGCATGCGTAAAGGTATTATACGAATGCATAAACACATTAATGTGTTTACGCATTACGCATGCGCAGAAAAGTTTGTAGCTTTGAGGCCCATATTATAGATCATTTCGGATTATGGACGTCCGGATTAAAGACTTTTGACTGTAGCATATTGAAATAACTGTTGACTTTTTATGCAAATTTTCTATATCACTTAGACATTTTATCGAACAGAAATCTGAATTTATTGTAATAAAAGTGAGAGTACAATTTATATACAAAAATGTGTCTACATAAGTACTTAAACACCGAGATGTATTCTTTACAATCATATAATGCAACTAAACGTCAGGTAGACATTAAGTGAATAATCGCTACATCTAAAGTAACAGCTGATTCATGGAAAGGGTGTAAAAGATCCTTTATAAAACTAAATAAAACAGAAGGCATACTTTGTGCTTACGACTCAGTCAACCACTTGTGGCAACATAACTAATGATAACAATTAAGTTCAAAGGCAAAATTTAAATTCAAAGAAACTAGTAGCCAAAGTCTATACAAATCAATCTGATTTGAACTTGTCTCAAAACTTAACTGGCATGGAATTCAACTATCGACAATTATAATGCAAAACTGAAGATCACAAATCTTATCTTATCTAGCAACCTAGTATCATGGCCTCGAGAGACAAACCACGTTTTATTTTACAAACTAAAAACCTCATTTGCATTCTGGTGGGAAAATGGATGAGAGAAGTGACAGTAATGATCCCAAACACAAAATAACTCTAGTTACAAAATGAAGAAATCTTGCATTATATAGTACAAAGTCCGAAATCCGGACATCCATTATCCGGAGTGATCTAAAATCCGGACCTTAAAGCCACAAACTTTTTCTTTTTATTAATGCTTTATGCATGCGCATTTGATTTTTCCTTCCATAATAAAATATGTGGAGATTTTCACTTAAAAATTCCGATTCTTAATTTTACTTAGGCACTAAATAAAATACCTCGTCGTGGAAAAACAATCATGTAAGCATAAATTTGTGAGATTAATAATTTGGCTCCATAGGTGAGTATCTACTTGGGCATACATCTCAAACCGAAACATTCACCTATTTTATATCCCTGACGCCGACCTAGCGAGTCATTATTTATTATATTTTGCTTTTATCAATACATGATAGCTTCAGTAATAACCCATGCAGTGATGTCTAAACTTTTTTTATATTAGTATCTGAGTAACAAGAGTACGACAACCTTTTATGCTAACATTATGCTTAACATTAAATGTTCTAAGAAACGTTGATGAGGGAAAATCAACAAAAAATTTCTTTTGATATGCTAAAAATAGATTTTGTTAATGAAACTCATAGTCCAAAAGTGCTATTTTAATTAAGAATAACTGATACATTATTTACCATAAACTCAAAAGCAACGGCAGAATTTAGGGAAGACGAAACTTTTTGAATTTGGGAAAGCACCGAGCGGCATAATTAAGGAATGAGAAGTTTTTTATGATTTAGGGAAAGCACTGGGATGCAAAGTTTAGGTACGGTGAAAATTTAGAACTTAGGAATGCGCTTTGTAGCAGAATTTAGGACCTGTAGAGACTGCACCAGCGAGTGCTGGGCCTAGTTAAAGCCTTAAGTATATGTGGGAGTTTATTTATTCAGGACTCAGTTTTAAGCATGTGCAAGACATAAATGTACGTAAATAATTAAACTAATAATAATACGTAAAATAATTAAACTAAGTAAATAATTAAACTAATACAATTCAGTACGCAAAAGAAGCAAGACAAAATTTAGCGAAACAACTTGGCTTTCGTAGCCAATCTAGTGATACAAAGCCAATAATGCATAACAGACACTATTAAGCTAAACTAAAATTATCTTTACTGATTCTAAGACATTTCAATTAATGTAGCAGACTGCGCTGCTCGCTAATCTTCTAATTTGATCCAGGTTATTATTTTTTTGCAGACTGTTATTATTATGGCAATTTTATAAGAACTAAGCTTGAACTTTCAATTATGTCGAAAAAAGTTTCCAATTCTGGAGTTGCCAAAGGATCTACAAAGCAAAACCATGTTTCGATGTCCATTAAACAAAATGTGGAATTGCTGAAAAAAATGGATAAAGGCATATCTGTCTCAAAATTATGCGAGGAGTATGGCATTGGAAAGTCTACTGTACACAAGGAAAAAGAAAAAGGAACTTTTTGAATTTTTTCTAGAAGCATCTTAAACAATGTACACTGAAAGAAATGTTTAATAAAGTAAACAAATAAATATTAAGCTTTTTCTTTTTGAAAACTTTGATACCTTTTAGATTATAATTGTTCTTTATTTCATAAATTACGATTTAAAAATTTTTAATTATATAATTTCTGTGTGCTATCTGGGGAAAGTGCAGAATCGCCCACTGCTTGGCACATTCTTAAGAATTGCACATACTCGGTATCCATGTATACATCGACCTATTTTAACTTTAAAAAAAATCCCAAAATTGCACAAAAATGGCATTGTGCAGTCCCTTTATCCATGTACACATCGACCTATTTTCTCTTAAAAAGTCAAAGAAAATTGACAAACATCCAATTCTTGTTACTCTTGTAAAAAGCGCTAAACAAACGCCAATCAAATAAGAGTGCGATTCTGCACTTTAGCCTGCTATCTTACCAGAGTTAAACTGATGATCTATTATCCGGAAAAATCCCAAATACGGAATCGGCGAAGTCCCGACGAGTCCGGATTTTTGTTCCCTGATTAATTAATCGCTACATGAAATAGTGTATTACATTTTTGTTTACATCATACACAAATTATTTATTTTACTTAAATCCTGTCCAAAACTGAACAGGATTTTGCAAACATATTGACCATATTTTTCAACCTACACATAAGATACTTCACTTCAGAAATAAGATTTATTTTCTAAGAAACAAATAATTTCATGTGTTAAGAAACATGACTCATAGGAACCATTCCCCGTCCCATTACTTGTAAATTTAAGGAATAATTCATACCAATACATTAATATAGCCAGCAACTTCATTTCCAGATGTACTTAGAGGCATAATTTGGTGGAAATTCTCCATTGTTATGAACTAAATTTCAACGACTTGGAAAAATATTACAATGGCATCTCTTAAATTCGTGTGTACGGAAGCCAAAAACATGCTTGAAATTATTTTGCTTGTTTACATTTTTTGTAAATTTTGCTTGGGCGGCAGAAAATATAATTGCCAGATTTGAAAGATAAAAATATTTTAATTTCGAATTGAAAATCAAACAAAGTTTTCTATTTAAATATGTTAGCTGAAAATTAATTTACAGACTAAAATTATATTATTGAATTATAATATGAAATCTATATAACAAGAAAAGTTTAATTTAGCGTTCATTCGGAAATTCAATAGCAGAAAAAAAAAAAAAAAAAAAAAAAAAAAAACAACTTAAAGATAATATAAGTTTCATGTATATGGCAGTACCATATGATATTGATAGCAGACTGAAAATTTTAAAATCATAGAAAATAAGCACAATTACATTTTAAAATTTATTTTTCATGCTTATAAGTAAATATATCAACATATGTTTCTATGAAACTGAAACGTAAAAGTTGTAAATGAAATAAATGATGCCTATTTCTGTAGGAATAGTTTTTGAATTTAAAAATTAAAGTACAATGGTTGCGTTTCCTTTAGTAAAATTAGCTGCTTTAGCTCTTCGCCAAATTAGCAAACCATTGGCAAATAGATTGAAAAACAGAGCAAAAAATAGTCTCTTCTTCAGAACTTATATTTGTATGCCACCAGCCCAACGTAAGTAAGTTTCTGTCGTTTAATGCAGTGAGTCGGCTTTTGTGTTTGTTGCATCATTTCCTTTGACGAAAGTTTTATTTTGATTTTATTTACTGTGTAGGTATTGAGCGTTCTGTATGGGAAACTATAGTATAGGATAGTATGTTGGCGATATGCAATATAGAAAGGCTAATAATATGCTTTCGTGATTTATATATATATATTTTTAAATGAAAATAAAGTACACTAAAATTCATATAATATACTAAGATTTGAATTATTTTATTAAATTTTCATTTGCTGAAGATAATTACATCTTAGTGAATTATTGTAAAACATTATGCAAAAATATACTGCATTAACATATGATTGAAAGTAATCTTTTACACTATAATTATGCTTTGTAAAGGGAAGATGTACATTTGCTTCATGCATGCACTCATCTTTACAATTAATTTCGCTGAAACGATGGGTATTTTTAATCGCTTTAAATGATATGATGTCAGCCTATTTAAAACTAAAGTTTTTCCTTTAATTTAGTGGAATTTAAAAAATTAAATTATAATAAGGTCTCAAATTTAAGACAGTCATGCATTTTTGAAGGTGCTTTATAAAAGAAAAAGGAGGAAACTGATAACATTTTCTAAGACAACACGTATAGGCTCTATATATTGAAGATATTTTTAATTTTTTTAATCTTACATCCCATTGCATAAAATTAATATGAAAAATAACACTCATTTTTATTTAAATATAATTAAAATGATATTTCATTGTTAATTTGTAATAATATATACAGAGGTTTTTAAAAACTTACTTGGAGTCGTGCAAGTTCTCCCATGCAAAAATATTAATTGCATGCAGTTTTATATTTAGTATGAAGCTGAATACTTTTCATTAATTTTTAAATCTTGGCTTGATAGTTTATGATATACAGTGTTTCAGAAATACATTTCCAAGTTTGGTTTATTTTGCAACATTAAATTAAAAAAATTATTAATTTTAAAAGTTGTTAGTTGTAAAAATTATTTCATAAAGGAAAAGAATATCCTTCTGCAACTGTTGTTTCATAGGTCTTACTTTTAAATCCTAACATCAGTTTATGTGAAGACTTTTGATAAGATCTAAAGCTCCTTTTCGATATAAGTAAAATTTTAAGAACATTTGTCAATATATATAGATATATATAAATCATTTTAATTACTAGGAGATGATCAGAAATTTGTGTAGTATTTGAAGCAATGTTTTAAATTTTGATAAGCATTTTATATAGTGTAGTTCATTTTTAATGTAATTTTTTTATGGCTTTAAAATGTATTCATTGATTTTAGATGATCTACCTACTCCAATATATTCTTCTCTTAAGTATGCATTTTTTTAAAGCACTTTTCTTTCTAAAATTAAAACACAAATGTATGTTTCACATAATTAATTATTTAATTTTACAAAACAAAGTCCGAAATCTGGATGTTCAATAACTGGGATGATTTAAAATCTGGATTTTCTGACCACCAATACCTTTTTCTCTTTTCTTTTTTTTTAAAGAATTTTTTTAAAATTTTTTTTATGTGTAATGCTTTATGCATGTGCATTTCATATTTTTTTTTAAATGAAGCAAATGGAGAGTCTTGATTTTGGGGCACTAAAAACACTTCAATATTGAAGAAATGCAATCATTTATTAATATAAATCTGTACAATCAATAATTTGGCTCTCATTTTCCTTGGTATAAGTCTCGAACCAATACATAATACATTGAAACATCACTGATTTTAACTTACTGAATAACTTTTTATTATTTTTTGCTTTCATCATGACATGACAATCAACACATGGCAGCTTGAGAAATAATTTATGCAGTGATGTCTAAAACAGTTTCTCCTTTTTAAATATTCAGCTTGGTAACCTTTCATATTATGCTTGGGGATGATTATAGGCTTCAGTCAACTATGCAGCAAAGTGTTAAGTGTGTTGACGAGGAGAAATTTAACAGTTCCTTCTTGTATCCAAAAATTATATTATTTTATAAATGAAACTTATAGGCCAAAAGCTTACATTAAGTGCTGTTTGAAGGCAAAAATATATTTCAGGGTACTCCTTGGTAAAAATTGGTAATTTTTTGGCCTGTTTACATCCAATGCCTTGAGCTTTTGCCGCAAAAATGTAAGAAAGAACAATAAACAGTAATACAGTTGAGAGATGAAATACTTACGGTACTAAAGATAATGGGGGAGGGGGAATCAATAAACTTTAAAAAAACTGGATAAGAATACTAATGAAAAAGATAAATTAAACTAATATCACAAATATACAAGAGGATTTGTTCAATATATAAATATGATATAAGCTGTCATTCAGTGTTTGTAACAAAATGAATGCAAATTGCCGGTTTGTGTGAGAAACAAATAGTAAACATCATTTTCGAGTATAAATTAAAATTGTTAATTACTATATGTAACTCTGAACTAAATTCAGTTTGAAAACAAATAGAAACTAATTAGAATATGTACTGGCATATTTGCATTACAATGTAAGTCGAAAATTAATAAACCAACATTCAACAATTACTTAGCTACGAAATCTCACCATCGTATGTTTTTTTAGTTTATGGAAAAGAAAAAATTCAACAAAGATGACCTTAAGGAAAGGTTTCAAAACAGTAATAGTTTACGATGGCAACTAAAAGGGGGTGGAAACGAATTTGGATTACCCGTTCTTTTAAGTGAAACCTTTCCAAACGCCCCATTCTTTTAATGGTTAATGAAGATATTTTGAGGTTTTATGCATTTTTGCTTTAACGCAAAGTGAGAACTGAATTAATTGAATGAAAAATCTATCTCTAATGAAATTTGAGGAAATAAGTTTAAACGAAATGCAGCAAAAAAACACGTATAATTTAATATTCTGTACAAGGAAGTCCTGTGGTGACCGCATAAGATTTTTCAATTAATTGATATCTTCCACCATGTTGTATTCTCTGACTAATTGTAATATTGGAAAAAGGCACTTTTAAAAGCAGTTTCCCCAGCAGACTCACCAACCATGATAAACACCACATTTACAGGAGCCTTTAGAATAAGTTCTGCAATGGTATGAGGCTTCTTACATTTCGTGATTCTGTAAGCCGCCTTGTAAGATGCTAGCAAAGCATTGTTTGGTATTGATGTATTCATGCATTTTAAAATAGTTTTTTTTTTAAATTTATTTTTAGTTCATTTAACTTCCTGGCAAAAAATCCTGGAGGTTTGCAACCACGCTGTGGTGATTAGCTTTTAAATGGCACTTAAGTTATCTTGGAAACATTCTCTTCGCTACTAAAACTTTCATTTACAATACACATTGTGATCATCTGTTTCAGCATTCATTTCTGTTAATGTAAAACCAAACTCTAAGAAGCCGTCAACATATTTATCACGTTTTTGTTTCTTGACAATTGTGCTGCTGGTTGAAGGTATACTTTATCTGCACATTTATTACTGTTCCAAAATTGGTCCATCATCAAAGATACAACAGCGAAAAATCACAAGACTATTTATCAAAGATAACAAACAAGGAGTTAAATAACACTAACTATATTACATGAACTAATTTATATTACCGTTAACTTATATGAAGCGCTGAGTTTAATTTTACAAGACTTAAATTAAACCGACTCACTGAATCTAGCTGGCAATGCTTGCTTATATGTCTTTCGTAAGATCTTCCAGAACAGTCTAGTTCTGTCATGAAGGGTGTACGCACTTCAATGTGTCTATATTAACAGTCAACCTATGTTGAGAACCCTAGATGTAGTAAAAAATGTTTGCATCTGCCGTAGAAAATTGTTCCACCACTTCCAGAAGTAATATTATAAAAATTATGGTATGAAATATAAATATTGTTGAGCAAACTGAGCAGAGTGAAAAATAGATAGATTACATTGCATCCAGCTTTCTCTTCAAAAATTTTCTAATATCATCTCAATCCTTTGATGACCAATAGGAAGACATCCTTGCAAATTCCAGCAACCCCGACTTCACCCAACTTTCGATGAGAAAAGCAATTAAAGCATTCACTCAATCACTGAGCGGGAGGAGAAGAAAGCAACTGTTATGGCATCTACTTCATCTTTGACATATATAATTTCAAAACCTTATAATGCTGGAAAACCACTATGCAGTTCCACTAAGATTATCATTATAAATGCTTTTGTCAAATTATGGGAGCATTTTCCTAATAAATCCGGTAATGAATTGAATACTTTTGCTGCTGATTTGACTGGTGTTTCTGTGACAAGCATAAATGATCTGAAAGAAAATGGTGGATTTTCAACTCCAGGGAGAAAATGACCTCTGAAAGTCAGTACTAAAGCATTTATGATTTTTTTGATTATTCAACGATTTCAAAGTGAGCAATGGCAACACTGTACGAATCGTACATCGTACAGTGTTGTACAGGACATGTTTATCTGTAGTGCACAAGACTGTATTAGAAATTCTAAACATATGCTCTTTTAAATATTTTGTGATATTGCTGTTGAATTCAATTTTATGGTTTAAGTATGAAGAACATGTTATTCAATAAAGATAACGCACAAAATGTTTAAAAAAAATCTCCTTTGGATGTAATATAAAATTTGACAGCTTTCAGATTATTATTATTATTTTGTTGTTGTTAGGCTAAATGTCTTGGTTCAAATAATTGTGAAGCTTTTACAATATTTCACAGCCCCCTGGTGCACAGTTTGGGAACCATTGCTTTTAAAGAATACAACTTCATGGAATTTTACATCTTCTATTGTGGAGCAGAATGGCAGATTTTTGAAGAACTGCAATGCTTTCCTTTCATTAGTAAACTTCACAATCCCATTGAGATTGCTTACGAGGTAAAAAAAAGTATCAAAATGCATTAAAAACAAATAATAATCAGAAAAATTACCATCAAATCTGAAGGCAGAAATCAGTTCGTTTGCTGAGCGGATTTTGGCAATATAATGCATTACCTTGTAAATACTTTTCTTGGGGGTGCAGATATCAGAACGAACTAAAAAATTAAATTTAATGTGAAGGATGAGAAGTGATAATTTTCTGACCTGCTGGTATATATCATTTATTCAGCCTCCTTAATTTTGTCACAAAAGTGTGACAACTGTGGCAAAAATTGTCTCAGTTAATAAACTACCTAGCTGTTCAATTAGAAAATTTTATTCTACATCAGGTTGAATCTTTTTTAGCCTAAATTACAATCTGTTTATGATTGGGAATGTATTTTGTAGGATATTTAAGTGGGTCTGCATCTAAATAATACCAGACAGTTAAGAGATTTGCTATAAATCATACAGATTAAATAGAAGGTTGTTCTTCCAAAATTCACCATATATTCTGTGTGGGATTCAAATTTCATACTTAAGATAGCAAGAAAGATGCTAGAAATCACTTTCATCATTCTTGAACCATTCATGAATAAGTTTTGCTTTAGAGATGCTATTATTATTAACACAAGTATTAGGCTTCTCGATACATATGCAACATTACAAGGTGGATATAATCAGTTACAATATTCAGATGAATTTGTGCAAGTTCACGGGACCTTAGCAATATTAGTGGCATATTCTTACCGGGAAAACAAATCTGAAATCATCATACTTCGTTCGTTCTTTGGACTACACACAACAATTTGGATTTATTGCTTATGAAGTAATTTTATCAGTGTGTATTTTGTCCCCCTAAAATTTTGGAAAAATATCCTGTTTCAAAATAGAAACAAACTCTTGTACTTGAATAACTTCTCACTTAGTCCAGAAAATTGTGTTGAATTTTAGAATATGGAAAAGGGTTGTTTTCCTAAGTAACAAAGTCACCATTTGCCAGTGTTAAAAAGTAATTTTTAACTTCAAAAAGGTGTTATTAGATGATAACTGCTTTAAAAGGGAAAATATTTTCTCATATAATTTATCAAAATGTCTTTCATTTAAGTGGAAATTTTGGCCTTGTATAACAGCATTCTTAATGTTACTAGATTTTAACTGATATATGAATTATGAGTACCACTTTGAAGTATATTACGTAATACTTATTTAGTTGCATACTAATTATTTTTATTGTTACTGTGTATCTAGCATGGTAGAATATGAAATTTAGTTAAATATTATAATATTAGTTTCATTACTATAATTATTTTATCACTATTTATCTATTTTTTTTATTTGGAATAAAGAAAACAAATAAAACTTTTCCCCTTACCCTGTTATAAAATGTATGTTTGAAAATGTCTTTCTCTCTGTATGCCATTATTTACTTTGCATTCAATGTATAAATATTTTCAAAAATTAAATATTTATATTATACCAATGAAACATTAAAAAGAATGGAGTAAATTTTTAATATACATGTAAAAACATGAATAATATTTTATTTTAAATTTCAAAACTTCAAACATCATATACTTACACATGCACAAACACATAAATATACATATGTATTCTTTTTTACAGTGTATCATTGGGTGGAAGTAAATGTCAAAATGAGAATGTTGAATTTAGGAAAACCTACAGAAGTACCAAAATTAAATGAAGCTATGGCAATAGAATTAGGTGCTGATTTACTAGGTGAAGCAACGATTTTTATGGTAGCAGTTCTCACATTAACTGCTGAATATGTAAGAAATGCTCGTAATGAGAAGGCCAAAGAAGCAGCGAAAGAAGAACGTTTCAGGAGCATTGAGAATGACGTTGAAGATCTAAAATTTGTTGTTGAAAAACAAAATGCTGAACTACATCATTTAACAAGAATGTATTATGCTATGGAAGAAAAAGTTAAAGATATTGAACAAAAGAAAAAGAAATAACAAATTGTAGTTGTGTTACTTTAGGTTATAAATTATTTTTTGTTATTCTCTATGATGCAGAATCTGTTCATATCTGCATACAAAATAACAAAGTCTCATTGTAATATTTTTCTGTGTACAATAAAACTGTTTTATAGTATTGAGAAAGAACAAAATTTATCAAGTCATATTTTTATCATAAAAGCATATTAACCTATATTACATATGAAAGCAATTTATATATTTAAAATTAAGTGTAAAAGATCCTTAAATTTTTTAATTAATATTGATAACCATTGTAAAAATATTATAATCTTAAATGTTTTAATAGTGCATTTTTTAAAAGGTTATTTGTTTCACATTATTTACATAAATTTTACATTAAAATTTCAACAAATAATTTTCTTTATTACTTTCATAAAAAAGCTGAAACAGAAAAGATGTGTTACCTTCTACTAAATATTTTTAGATTTGTTTTATTATAATATATTGGGTGTTTTTTCACTACTTTAAAAGTGAATAAAAAGCAGTTTTCAAAAACTTTATGAAACTTTGTATTTCCTGAGAACTTCTATTTAAATATTGTTATATTAAAAAACATTTATGGTTTATCACACATAAAAGTTTTAATATAAATATTCCAAAATATTATGGAAATGTCTGCATAAGAACCTTTCTATTATTAATATTACAATATTTTGGTTTAGTGTATATCTAAAAATTTTAAACAAAAAATTTGCAACAAAATCATTTTGCAAGATTGTCAATAAACTGAAATTTTTACTCATTTAAAATTATTTGATTTTGTTTACAGGTCTTTCAAGAAAACAATTATGTGTTATCTAAACACATTGTGGTAAATTGTAAATTAACATAAACTTCCATTGTCTTGCATTTTATTGATATATCTTTATAGAAATAGAATTTAATATTAAGTGTGTGAAGACAAATATAAATATGCTTAGAAATGAAATTATAAAGCAAGCATTGGAGAAATTCAAATTGCATGAAAACGTTAGAATTCATCAAGCGCTTCTAAAAAGATACGTTTAAAAAATAAGAATTCTACAGAATGTGATTATCTGGAGCATAGTTTAGAAGCACTTAAAATTGTGAGTTATTTTACACAGACTCAATTGAAATAAAAATGAATAATTACAAGTTAGTTACTATAAATTACACAAGTTCTATACAAGAAAAAATGTACTTTTAAAACATACCATTAATTTGTTACAGCTGTATTATATAAATTGCTCGCAATTTTTTTTAAAAACATGTCCTAGTTCAAATTTATATACAAGAAACATAATTACCTATAACACTGAAAAAGCATAACTAATGCTTCCTAAGAAAGAGTTCACATCAAGGATCAGATTTTTGACGAAAATTAATACTTTTTTATTAATAAAAGGTACTTCAAACTACAGTAAATGCAATTTTTTCTGAGTAGCACTATGTAAATCTTATTATTATCTACTGTAATTCTTTTTGAATTTATAGAAATTTTATGTGTGTCAAATTTTGTGTGCTTTCACTTATTTTAGTATGCAAATAAAAATGCAAGAGTATTTGTTCATATAATTAATTAAATTGGATTGTTAAATATAATACTTTCATTTACATGCTTTAATACTACATGAATTGGAAATTAGTATGTATTTAAATTTATTGAAAAAGTGCATGAATATCATAACAACATGATATGATGACTTTCGTCAAACAAATATTGAATTATCGGGATTTTAACTTCTATCTATAAAATAAACAGCATGTCATTTATAGCTGCATACAATACAAACATTGTTTCAAATATGTATCATCAAATGGTGAGCAGTTTATGAGAAATGAAAATTTTGTTAAAATTCAACAATGAATTTACTTTTATTTTCACATTTAAATGTTCTTAATTATATATCATATAATTAAAAAAGATGGCAAACTGCAGCCATGAATAGTAAGTTTAGCCTTTTCTGTGGGGGATATTCATAGGCAAACAATCTCTGGAATGCCGATCCAAATGTTTTCATATCGACATTTTTGGTATCATTTTGAAGTTATTCCACAATAATAAGTCGGGATTGTTAAAAAGAAAACTTCGGTGATTCCGGATTATCGGTTTTTCTGGATTATAGATCATCAGTTTAAATCTGGTAAGATGGCATGCAGAAATTATAAAATTAAAAATCTGAAACCGTAATTTATGAAATAAAGAGCAATTATGATCTAAAGGGTATCAAAATTTACAAAAAAAAAAGCTTAATATTTACTTGTTTACTTTATTAAACATTTCTTTCAACGCGCGCATGCGTAAAGCATACATTATGCATGGTCAAAATTAGAAAATTGCAACCAGAAAACTATTTGATGTGTATTCGTGATATTTATAATGATGAGGAATTTGATTTAAATCACATCAAAGACGGAGTACATTGAGATGAAATACTATATTTAGTAAGGAATTATAAGTCGAATAAAATAAAAACATCTGCCCTGAAGATAAGGATAGTGCTGACAGATCAACTTCCAGTTCATTGCGCGCGACATTTCCCCCTCCCGCAGAGCAGCATGAAATTGATAAACAGATTTCGAAATGGTTAGAGAAACAAAGGATATGCCTTTATCCATTTTTTGCAGCAATTCCACTTTTTTTTTTTATGGACATCGAAACATGCTTTCGCTTTGTAGATCCTTTGGCAGCTCCAGAATCGGAAATTCTTTTTGACACAATCAAAAGTTCAAGCTTACTTTTATAAAGTTGCTCTAACAGTCTGCAAAAAATAATAAGCCGGACCCAATTAGAAGATTAAGGAACAATGCAATCTGCAACATTAACTGAAATAGATAATTAGATAACTTTAGCTTAGCTTATACCGTCCGTTATACATTAAACGCGCACGCGTAAATGTATTATGCGCATGCATCAACGTATTATGTGTTCATGCATGCGCAGAAAGTTTGTAGCTTTGAGGTTCGGATTAAAGACTTTTGACTGTATTCATAATATGCATATACAGTGACATATACTGCATTGTGATATGATATCCTAACCCTTCTGCACATATTAGATGAATAGCTATTTGCAATACATATTGCAATTCAGCAATCATAAATACAGAGAGTCATTGGCTGAATGGATAAAACTGCTGAACACTGGTAGATGGTTCAACAAATCTGGTACTTTCTGATTATCTTCACCCCTGGTTTCAACATTCAATAAAACTGTCAAATATTTGGTTTAAAATTTAGATACTATAAGTTTGAACCTGTTTACTTAGTTCATTTTAGCAAAACACTCTAGGGTCATCCACTTATGAGGTGGAATAAATTATTCAAATATGGCAAAAGCATAGAAAAGCTGAATGCCTAAGAGGACGAATGCATTTGTGGAGGATTTTTCTGACTTGCACTGGCTCATGTACATTCTACACATGGAGAAAACCAACTGTGTAGCCAGCCTATTCACTTGAAATTGAAACTAGAGTATTCAGCAGTCTTAACCGTTCAGTCACTTTTTGGTGGGACCCATTTATAAAAATGCCTGTTTAAGAGAAATAGGCATATTCATGTTACACAACACAAAAATGTTCTTGTGGACAACTTGTTCACTACAATTATAACCATAGAGAATGGGCTGACTACATGGGCATTTATGCAGTTTAGTGCTTTATCAATTTGGACATTGATGGGCACTAAGCCTATTTGAACTGACTAATATAAAATTTTGATCATGTAGAACAAAAGCAATTATGTGCAGCACGGTGTTCTTGACTATGTGAAAATTGGAAGTTTTCACAACACAGAAGCTAGCTATCAGTATGCCATTAATGAATAGGTTGTCATACCATTAGTGCACACAGTATAAGTAAAAAATATCTCACACTTTTAGAGCTCCCAATGTGTCTGTATAAAAATCTCAAAAGATATTTCATTGGAGCAGGAGAAAATTTAAGGATGTATTAGATAAAGGGCAATGTTATTGAGGCATTGTTCTATATTTTAAAATAAATCGAGTAATGAATCTTTGAATTGTTTATAGGAAATTTTGAAATGATGATATATATATACGGACAGCAGTAATCTTTTCCAATCAGTCTTAATTCATTATTATTACCGCAATTTATAAACTGCTTCATCCTCATCTTGTGGTATTTTGCCAATATTTGCTAGATTGATTGAATAGTGCTGCAGATGTACCAGTTTTCATTAATATAAATAATTGCCAATATATCCATCGTATGAAAAAAAATTCTTGATACTTTGTACTCTTCCACATTGACCCAACTATTCAAAAGTGATACATTTAATAAATGCTGAATATAACCAGTGGAAACAAGTATGAGTGTGAAGCTGTTAAAGGATGCTGGATATAACTGGCACTAGCCAGTATGAAGCATTTTGTGAATGCCAGATATAACCAGCACTAGTTATGAAGGGTTTAAATTTGCATATTTAAATTTATGAAGAAGGCAATAAGTAAAAATTAAGGCAACTGTTATATTCTTTATTATTTTTTGTTGTATTGAATATGTTTTGTATTACATGTGCAGATATAACACACCTTTTTTTATAAAATTACAGTACTTTTCTTTTTCAGCAAAAAAGATCAGAAATGCATTAGTATAGTTTTTCAAAAATTCCCTTGAAAAATGGGGGTTTATATCAGGTGCTGGTTTGTTTTATATGCAAAATAATATGGTATATTTCTATACAAAAACTATTTTGTTGAGAAAAATAAGAAATAAAATTAAATAATGTATTTATTTTTATTGCTGATATAACTGCAACATAAAATCATATAACAACATACAAACAAATTTCAGAAAGCAGGTCTATATCATCCATTTTGATGCTGTCTGGATCAATATGCATTTTTCTCATCCAAGAAACATCAAGATTAACCTAAAAATAAATACTCTAATAGTAATCTACATTCCACATAAAATTAAAAAATTTTGTTTCATTTATGCCCTCCAGTTGAATTTATCAATATAAATAATTCAAATCCTTGGGATAAAAGAATTACAATGTAAGTACATAGCATTAAAAATGATTCACTGAGTTTGGAAGTTGGAGTAAACTGCAGTACCACAAAACGATTGTATACATATATATACAATCGTTATATATACGCAAATATATATATAACAATTCTATATGTGTGTGTGTGTAAGATATCAAAATATGAAAAAAATTATTGCTATGTTAAAATTTAATTAATTTTGAATTAAAGCACAAACAGTTCAAGGAATATGTAATTTCTCTGTAATAAATTCAATGCTAAACTTCTGCCTAGTCACTAACCAGAACTAAAACGAATTCCCAAGCTTATAAATAGTACTGCAACTATGTCTCCTTTTGGTGCTTACACTTGCTAGCTAAGAACTTCTCTTGCTGGGCTGCTTCTATTCATTGTTAAAAATATAATATACCATAACAAAAATTGTGATGTGCCACACCGTACTGTAATCAGCAATAAAGATATGTTTGGATTATCAAGTGAGTTTGTAACTCTTCATAAGCTCTGGCCATTTTCTACTACCAAATAAATATTTTAGTAATATTCTAACTTCAAGGCACTCGTGACTACAGAATAATTGGTGTCTTCACTAGTCAAGCATTCACCTAATATCAAATTATTCGCAACAAACTAAATTTTCATCACACACACATATATATATATGAACTTTAGCAAGTCAAAATTAAAGGGAGTAGAAATTTTTTTCAAATGATTGAAAATTTTAATTTTTAGGAAAATAGCTCTAACAAATTGTTAGGATCCTATGTAGATATGTGTACAAATATATTTCATAAAGCAAGACATAAATTATTGCAAATGGTAATGAAGAAAATTAGTTTGATTTACAAGATATATTAATATAATAAAAATTAAAAAGTTTCAATTTTAAATCATACAATTATACTAGAAAAGGCAATTATATTACAAAAGGCACAATGTAATAGCAATATGAAATTATACATCTCATAAAATTAAGCAACAAAACGGATAATGACAGTTAAAAAAAGTTTTCATTACAAGTGGTAATAATTCTCGCTTCTGCCTCGAATGAAAAGCAGAAAAGCATTGGGTTGTCTGGAAAATTTATGCCAATTTTTAGTAAGTGGCATAAGAACAGATCTGAAAACAGGGGTGTTTGTGCTCCGGGGAAACCCCGGAATTCTGGGGATTTTGAACTTTGATACCCGGAAATTCCGGGGATCATTGTTCAAAAGGAAGTAGGAATAATAATGAATTATTTATTTTGATCTGGGTGATTTTGTTTGCTTTGAAAGCAGAAAACGCAAGGTCAGTGTGTGTGGTGAAAACTTTTCCTTTCTTTCTCCAAAGGCAGTGATAATGCGTGAAAAGGGGGAAAAAACTTCTTTTTTGTTCTTTCCTTATTGCGAGTTACGACTCATTCCCCCGGTTCTCGGACATTCTCTTCTGGATTCTTTTCGGCAAGTAGGCGCGGCAGGAAAAAAGGGAGAGACTTTGTTCAACCAGATGTGTGATCACGTGACTCTGGGTTCAAAGGTCTTATCTCTCCTGGCGTGGCGCCAATAAATAGAGAAGGGGGATTTTTCGCCATATTAGCTATTTGTCATTGATCGCTTCTCAACTTTTTTTTCTCTGCTGTGTAAAATTTTCGTTTCATTTATTGATGCACGTGTAAATTTTTCGTTTCGTTTATTGAAATATTTTTTTATTTATGTACGCAAGAGAATTTCACTATGAAATTTCTCGATATAAATAGTGATATACAATTAGAAGAAGGTGTCCGGAATGCATTTAGGTGGAATTGGATTGAACGGAGAGATGGTAATGGGGATACCATCGGCACATGGTGCAAGAAAATAAATGTTGCTGGACAAGCATATTGTGTTTTTTGTAACTCACTGCTGAAGTATGGTGGGGAAGGATTCAAGGCTTTCACAAATCATTCTAAAACTGTGACGCACATAAAATATTCAAAGTGCATTAAACATTCAATAACTTTAAGTAATTATGCTAATTCAAAAAATACTGATGACTTACTGGAGACTGATGCTCGGCCATTGGATATAGTGACAAGAAAAGCACGCAAAGAGGTATTAATAACTTTGTTTATCGCCGAGAATTCTCTTTCTTTCAATGTAGCTCCCAATTTAATTGAACTCTGCAAACAGTTGAGCCGCGATCAGACGGCACTAAACTCGTTGGAAATGTCCAGGACTACTGCATGTCATAAGATGAAATATGGGCTCACAAAAACTATTAAGGAAAATATCATTAAAACTTTAAAGTTTACTACTCCATTTTCTCTAAATTTGGATGAAAGTACTAGCAATGCTCAAGAAAGTATACTGGCAATATTGGTGCAGTTTTATGACAACAATCAAAATGAAGTTGTAGTTCATCATTTTGCATCTCTAAAGATGGAATCTTGCAATTCAGAAGCTGTTTTTAAAGCAGTTGTTAATACTATTGAAGATAATAATATTCCATGGGCAAACTTAATTAGTGTATTAATGGACTCATGTAACACCATGCGTGGAAAAAAAAAGGGTGTTGAAACCAGACTACGATCAAACAAAGCACCCCACTTATTAGATATTGATGGTGACACATGTCACACAGCTAATAACTGTGCAAAAAAATTTGCTTCATGTTTTGATAGATACTTAGAAGATTTGTTTTATGACATCTATTTTGATATGAAAAGCTGCAGTAAAAGAGAAAATTTTTTCAAAATCTGTGAATCCCTTGCCATTAAAAAACTTAAGCCCTTGAAGAGACCAGACCATAGGTGGGTGTAGGGTGTACATTTTATGTGTTTTAGAAAGAATCAAAGATCTGTGGGATGCTCTTATTGCATTTTATTTTCACTACTTGGATAAAGCTACTATATACTTAATTAGTGTATTAATGGACTCATGTAACACCATGCGTGGAAAAAAAAAGGGTGTTGAAACCAGACTACGATCAAACAAAGCACCCCACTTATTAGATATTGATGGTGACACATGTCACACAGCTAATAACTGTGCAAAAAAATTTGCTTCATGTTTTGATAGATACTTAGAAGATTTGTTTTATGACATCTATTTTGATATGAAAAGCTGCAGTAAAAGAGAAAATTTTTTCAAAATCTGTGAATCCCTTGCCATTAAAAAACTTAAGCCCTTGAAGAGACCAGACCATAGGTGGGTGTAGGGTGTACATTTTATGTGTTTTAGAAAGAATCAAAGATCTGTGGGATGCTCTTATTGCATTTTATTTTCACTACTTGGATAAAGCTGATAAAAGGGATTATTTTTCTTATGTTGAAACTGTATACAATAAAAGAAATATTTCTGCAGCTCAGAAAAAAAATTGTTGAAGGGGTGTATTCTTGCTTGCATTCCCAACAACTCACAAAGGATGCTTTAGCTCGGAAAAAAAGAATACTGAATGGGTTATTTGTTATGCAAAACAAAACTTTATTGCATATGGCATTATATTCAGCAGTATTACCAGAGTTCAACACATATATTAAATTATTTGAAACAAAAAAAACCAATGCTTCATTTATACATTCCAGTATTTATAAATTGATGCCAAATTTTTTCTCTTTTTTTATGAAGCCAGAAAATATAGAGTGCACATCTTATAATGATTTAATAAAGGTTGATGTCACAAATCCAGAATTCCATCTACCTAGCAAAGTAATATTTACTGGTGCAGAAGCTTCCACTCTCCTGAAGAAATTATCAAAAAATCATCCAATAGCAAAAGAATTCCAAATTTCTCTGATGAAAGCTTATACTAATACAGCACAGCATAGGAAACAGAATTTACCCCTTAAAAATTCATATCTAATTAGTTTTACAGCATTAGAACCAGAGCTAAGAGGTAAAACCAGTACAATATTAGCTTTTGAAAAATTATCATCTTTTATGTCCCATATTTTTAGTAATTTTAGTGATTAGTCAAAAGTAGAAGCTGAAATAAGGTTATACCAGAGTGATATTGATATCACCAAAGAAATGCTCTACACATCTGATGAAAGTGGAAATCAAGTCAAGTGTACAACTGATAAATATTGGTCTAAGTTTTTAATTTAAAAGATGATTTCACAAATGATTATAAGTATCCTACACTGGCTAAATTGGTCAAAGCCTGCCTTAGCTGCTTCCATGGCCCATTAGTGGAAAGTGCATTCAACTTAATGGATACATTTGTCACTGACTATAGAACCTCTCTTAAGATTGATTCCCTAGATGCAGTGCAGACTATTAAATATGATTTAATGGCTTCTAAAGAAACCTCATGTGAAAAATATGGCTCAAAAAATCCAATGACTGATCCAATTCACAAAGATCTCTTACTGAATATGAACAAAAGTTGGAAAACATATCAAGAGGACTTAAAAACATGTATTTCAGATGAATCACCTATAAAAGTCTCTGAAAAACTTTCTACATTAGCAGAAAAGCAAACTGCTTCTACCTCTGCATGTGCAGTTCTCGAGGAAATTTCTTCAACTGTAAATGAGGAAAATAAAAGTCAACCTTCCTGCAATTATGAAGTTCACCACAAAAGAAAGACAAGCCCACAAACATCAGAAAATAGAAAAAAGCAGCAGAAATTTGATAATTTTTTTAAAGAATTAATTCAGGTAATTTAAAATATTTACATAAAATGTAGTAGTTTATATGTTTGAAAATTTATGGTTATTAATTTTGCAAAAAAAGTAATTCATTGAACTTTTATAATTAGGTCATTCAATACTTCATAATTGTAATTTTTCATTTCTCTCCCCCCGCTTCTTGAAACTCCAAAATGTCGGTAGTAAGTCCGTAAAAGTTTCAGGGGATTTTTTGGGGTTTCACAAACACCCCTGGGAATATAAAATAATGATTGAAAATAAATGGTATGAGTACAAATCACAAAAGATGGTACTTCAGGCACATTTGAAAAACAATTTGGTTATGATACCTTAATTTTTGTCAGTTTTATACACCTTTGAATATGGAAGAAAACAAAGTGCATTTTAGGCATTTAATGCTTTTCTTTTACCAAAAAGGTAAAAATACAACATAAGTGGCAAACAGATAGGTACTGTTTATGGTGATGGTGCTGTAGAACTGTGCAAAAGTGGTTTGTTAGCTTTAAAGCTAGTGATTTCAACCTTAATAAACAAGAACTCCTGGGTAGGCCCTCTACCACAGTTGAAGATCAGATTAAAATACTGATCAAGAATAACACATGCATACAATATTTAAATTAGCAGAAATGTTAAATATATCAAAATCTACCATCCACGACCATTTTGTGAGGCTTGGCTACATAAACCGTTTCAATGTATGGGTTTCCCATACATTGAGAAAAATCGCATGCTGGTCTTCCAAAGAAGGTCATGCACTGTGTCTGGTGGGTTTGGAAAGGGATCTTGTATTACAAGTTTTTATCAAACTATGGGATGATAAATTATTCCCAATTAAGTATTATTCCCAATTAAACAAAATAAAGACACCAATTGAACAAAAACATCCAGAAATAGCAAATCAGAAGGACATTGTGTTTCATCAGGACAATGCGTGGCTTCATGTATCTTTGATAACTCAACAAAAGTTGTTTCAGCTCAGTTGGGATGTTTTAACCCCATCCACCATATTCATAGGACCTCAAACCCTCTGATTTCCACCTATTTTGATCATTACAAAATTCCCATAGTGTAAAAAACAGCTCTTTTATAGAGATAAAAAAAATTACGTAGAAAAGTTTTTTGCGTAAAAACCTTAGAGATTCTTGAAGGATGAAATTTTGAAGTAGCCTGAAAGATTGAGAAAGGTTGTAGAACAGAATGACACCTATATAATTTAACAAATGTTTGCTAAAATTTAAATCTGCATTTCAATTTTCCTTCAAAATCAGCACGAACTGTCTGAACAACCCAACAGAAACATAAGTACGAAATACTTAACAAAATATCCAGAAATTTTTTTTAAAAAAATTTATGAAGGCTATTAAATATTTTGAAATATGGCATAAAACCATGAAATGTGAAGCAACTTGGCTTCACTTTATTCCGAGTAGAAATATGATACATTGAATTTAAGAACTTATTGAAAAAAATTAGCATTAATTAACCTCTAATATATTCTGTTTATGAGAAACATTCAGTTCAGTTTGTTGAAAATTTCATATTATTATAGTTCAAGTAATCCAAAATGCAAATATATTAATTTATGGTATCAATTAATACAGTATTTCTTTTATTATATGGCATACATCCCCTCATATACCCTCTTAAAAATCAAGTGCTGCTCAGGATACCTCTCCCCATTTTTTTTTAACAGCATTCAACAATTTGTTTTTATATGTCGACTTAAAAAAAAAAAAAAAAAAAAAATTATACAAAACTCTTGATGCCTTAGAAAATTCTATATCATGAGCTAATAATAGTAAAAATAGCTCAGAAGGATCAGATCTCAATGTGAATAGCTGATGTTTATTAAAATGCAGATAATTAATAGCTCGAAATAATCAGATTCTAATATCGACCCAGATGGGATGTAAAGCATATCCACTGATAAAAAGATACAGATTGATAAAAGATTTACTAACAACAGATTGTTAGTATATCTAACTGTTATTATAAGAACAATTGTTAGATTTATTTAAATGTTTTATTTTATTTATTTCATTTTTTTAACTTGAAGCATACACCATTTTATAGTATCAAGTTCTCATAATTCTGTTGGCAATATATGTTGCAAGAATGCACATTATAATAAAAAATTAAAATATTCTTACTTGTAAATTGCTAAAAGTTTCTTCCAGACTAGGAACTGTTACAAGCATTGTACCAGATTTCATAGCATTTCTTAACCATGTCCAGATTTTAATTTGTTCATTCTTTTGCAAGAAACATTCAAATGGATTATTTAATAAGATTACATTCGCTGCTTGAACTACTTCTGGAATGTTACAAATATCATTATGGATAACCTAAAATTTACAAAAGAGAAAAAGGACTTCATAAAAAATGGATTATTAATTTTTAAAGAGTTTTGATTAATTTATAATTTAATATTCCAACCACACAGGACGTATACAGGAATTGAGAATTATTTTTACTGAAACTTCTAAATACTAAATATCTGTATGTATCTTAAATATATCCAAGCAATCAAGGACATATATTATCAGAGAAAAAATTTTAAAAAATTAAGATCACGAAAATACAATCGTCATGGTATTTTTTAAAACTCTGAATACTATTTGTAAAATAAAACTGTTAAAAAATTTTCTATTTATTTCTTGCAATTAAAAATAAAAGAAATAAATCTATAATGTGCTGAGCTTGTTAGTTTCCAGCAGTTACTGACATCTCAGTTCTTGCATTTACATATTGAGAGAAAAATGATATAGTTAAAATGAGTTGTTTATTATTCTTAATTTTTATTATTATATCTATGGATGATTTTCTTTTAATTATGGTATGATTTTAAATGCAATATTTTAATTTTCAAGCCACCTTTTTGAGAAATATATTAATGCATCACCACCAAAGTCCCCAGCAATATTATATTACATTTTATTAGGATGAAAATTTGAGCCATTATTCAAGACACAAATGCAAACTATTTTATGCACAGTTATAAGAAACTTACTTCAAAGCAAAAGTACTTAAAAATCTTAAGAAAACAGAAGTAGTTTAATTTCTAAAAAGAAAAAAATCTGGTACTCTTCTGTTATCAGGATCGGATTCAGAAATGTATGTGTGTATATATGTGTACATATACATATGTATGCATGTATATAAGTGCATCACATATGCATTCATTTCTGAATCTGGTCCCAATAACAGAAGAGTACCTAAATTCCTAATCAACATTCTTTTTTGAAAATTCATACAAGATGGAAAATTATTATATGTAGATATTTATTTAAAAATTCTTAGTATAAATAATATTCTATTAGTATCAATAAATTTTACAGAAATTAAAAATTCTTTTAAATAATATGTGTATATGCATTATATAAAAGAAACATTATATGCATTTCTATATGTGAAAACACTTATTAAAACTGAATTCTATACGCAAAGAAATGTCCAAAAGTAACTCAAAAGGATGGTAGGTCACATGGTAGGTGGCTGTATTGTTTGGGATACAACTGCATGACTTATCAAAGAATAGCCTAAATACCATGTACACGGCGCCCCCCCCCAAAAAAAACTGGGCCGGTTGACAAAATGCAAATTGTGTTATTCATGTCTTGAAAATGCGACTTAGGATATATATTAGATTTATATATAGCAATTCCAGTCCCCATTAAAACATTATTAACATTTTACTTTCAAGTTACTTCAAAACATCTTTCAAAATATAACTTACTAGTATGGATTCACTCTTTTAAGATCATTCTACTTTAATTAAACTTAAGAGATAATATCAAATATTATTTAGTAAATAAATTATTCTAATATAGGTATTTTGATATAAAATCGGTCTTTTTCTAAAACGACATACCATTTTTTTCCATAGTTTGATTCTACAATTCAAATTATGCCTAAATATTAAATTTTATAACATCTGGTGTGAAATTTATGGAGAAATTCAAAAATTTATATTGGTGCATATTTTTCAGTTTGCGCCTATAATAATTTGCTTGGCGAACTTCTTAATTTATAGCAACCTATTTTCCTTTCCTTTTTTCATTGTAATGAGCGTAAAAATGTAACTGTTCGTTATTTGAAATAATTTTAACATAGTGCATAAACCACATGTGGCGTTATCGCTTGTAACAAATATGCCAAATCTCAAAATGCGCAATATGTAAATTCACATATATCTTAGGATATTTTGAATAAAAAACTCTTAATTTTTTGCAGGTATACTTAGAAATTCATCTACTTTAAGATGATAGTAAAAATTTTATAGTTTATAATTCAAAATGTTTTCAAAAAATTTATAAAAATGATTTAAAAAATATAAATTTAAAAAATAAATCATAAAAAATGGACAAACTAATAATCCTGACAGTTGTTAAATATGACTACACAAAACCTGAAGGTTTTCTTAATGTATAACATAAATACATGCCAGTTTCCTTACAAAAGCCTTCTACAAAAGTAGATAGCTTTAATATATTTTCTCTCAATATAATCATTCAATCCTTTTATTTTGGAATTCAAGCAAACTTTCACACCTTCACTAAACATTGCAGAGATATGTTTAAAAAAAGGAGGGAATATTTTGAGTCCTATTTGTGGATATTCTATTGTAAAAAAATATTAAAGTTTCTTCACAGTATTTATATGCTCAACACCAAAGAAGGTAACAATAAACAACTTGGCAAATGCTTGAAAATGAACATATTTACATGAAATCATCATCCATCTGAACAGATGGCCTTTCATGCTTGAAACAGTTTTACTTCTGATTTAAGGCAAAAATGCTCACATTCTTTTATGCTGTAACTCACATCACTAAAAATCTGAACACAAATTATATATTTCATGAAAGTATATAATCTCTGATACCTGTCAAAAATTTGGAAGAATCATTGAAATTCTGGTGACATTTACATACAAAAATTCATAACCTAGCAATTTAAAATATCCTAATACTTAAAAAAAAAAAAAAAAAAAAAAAAAAAAAAAAAAAGCCGAATATATTTACGGTACACTTTTTAATGGGAAATTTCAGAAATTAAGCATATATACCTCTATTCTGTTACCTAAGCTATATTTGCCTATGATATGATTCTGTAATTTGCATAAATCTTCATTGATTTCCACTCCAATAATTTTGCTAGCTGAACTGTAATAATAAGCCTACAAAATAAAGTATATTTTTAGTTGCAGTACATACATTTGATAAAGCAGCAACTATAAAGCATAAAAAATAAACCAAAAAGAAAATAAATGTTCATATTACAGAAAGTTATTATATATGAATAAACTACTGTTTAATAATATTAATAACTTTGAAAAGATAGAATTTTTCAATTCAAAATAAATAAATTAGTTTAACTCCATATTTTTGTTACATTTTTACTGCATAGTTAAAAAAATTAATGTAAATTAATATACAGAAAATGAAAAAAAAAATTATATCTAATTTTTTTCAGCTAAATTTGAAATTTATCAAAAGTGTATTTGATATATTAACATGGAAGCCTGAAAATACAGCTAAGGTAGAAATTTTATCTTGCAAATAAATTTTTGACTGCATCCACCAGGTGGTGCTGTATCTGAGAGGCTTGGATATATGTTTCTGAGCTATCATTCAGCATTATGCTGACTTTATCCAAATTAGAATTAATAATGTCATTATTTCTAATTTGGAAGAACAACACAAACAAGATTTTGAGACACTTATGCAAGATGAAGAAATTAATCATATTGTTTCTTTCTTATTTTGCCTTTTCAATGAAAATGCAGTGCTGAGCTATCACTCATTCAGATCTTTAATTGTGTGGCTTTTAAACATGGGATTATGTAAAGTGATAGATACAGATATCATTCAACATCAATGGCAGCGTTAAAAAACATTACACAATGATATGAATCAATTATTCATGCAAAAATGCCATTTTACTGAGTGATCTTAGATATTATAGGTAGTGTTAAAAAAACTATAGCTGCTATATTAAACATTTATTAGGAAGTACTTATGTTCTTTTATGGAAGAACATTACTACTGCTAAATAAATAGAATGACAAAATTCCTCAAAATAATTCATGATTTTTGCACATTTTTGTGCTAATTACACTATTATGTTAATGGAAACTTCTGTGTGATTCCATATATATATATATAACTGAATTCTGGTATCTTTAGGATAGCTTACATATTATTTCCATAACATTTTTCAAAGATGGAAATGCCATAATCTACAACAATATAGTTACATTATATAAAAACTGCCTTTTAATAATAGATCTGGAACTCAAATATTGGACTACTCCCTCTCCCTGTATCTTCCCCACAAAAGTTTACATGCATTTTATGGAAGAGCACACATGTGTAGTTCCTCAAAGTGCACTATATATGCTTCTTTAAAAAAACTAACTGAAGGGAGCAAAACCATACATTAAAAATAAAAAATAATATAACAAAATAAATATAGATATTTAAAAAATAAAATGAAAAAAAGTTATAATGAAACATAATACTGGGGATGAAGAAAATGCAATGCTTTAGTACCTCTTAATTTCATACAATATAATCATAAAGAAAAATGTATATTGTATGAAATATTTTAAAAGTATTCATTCCCTTTCCCTTTTGTATTTATGAAAGAAATGTATTCTTAATGAAATACTTTGAAAGTATTCTCTTTTATATTTATAAAAGAATAAATTTAACATTAACATGAAACATAAAATTTGGTTTTTGAATAAACATAACTAAATTAAAAATTCTTTTCATTCATATACAGTGAAATACGTTTAACACGAAAATGCTCAAGACGAAATATCGGTTAACATGAAATAAAATAATGGTCCCAACAAACTGTGTATTTTCATGCATTTTGTTTCTCTTAACATGAAACGATATCCTTTCTGGAAATAAACAAAATATGGAAAACACCAGCCTCGCAGGCGAGTTTTCAATGGGGTGGGAAATGAAAGAGAGGTGGTTTCGCATGTTTTGTAGAAAGGAGGCTAACTTGGCTTTGAAATACTCTCAGAAAAGCCTGTGACACGAGCCAGTTTAGTTTATCTAAGCTACTTTCACCTTCCACCCCTACAAACGCAACACAAACATCTCATCTCTCAGCAGTTGGCTTTGGAATTCGGTGATGAGTACAGCGCAGTGTGAGTAAAAAATCAGTGAATTTGCTTCATATGTTGCACTCTGCATGTCTCCTTCTCTTCATATGTTACATTCTGCATGGAATTCAGTGACTCCAAGGACAAAAGAAAATTGTTTTTGTTATGCATGATTCTCAAAAAAATCATATTCTTTGGCGTCAGATGAAATGGAGAAGGAGGATATTGGAACTGAGCTAACACTTAATGAAATGTTTGAGAAAGTTTCTGTATTAATGTACTGTCCTACTGTATTATTGGAAGAATTCGCTGCAGTAGTTGATGTTAAAGTGTATATATATGGCCCCAAATATGGCAGACAAAAACATTTTGGAGTTTGTTCAAAGCTAAAAAAATATCATTAATGCAGATTCCGACGGCGAAAATGAAACGAATAATGCAGCTCCTGTTCCCATGTCATCCGAAATGAGGAACATCATAAAAAGTACGCACAGTTATTTAGACGCACATTCCAATAATGAAATAAATAACAAAATGAACAATTTAACAATTTGATGCTAAAAAAGACAATGCAAAGAAAAATATCAGATTATTTTCCAAAAACTCAATAAATATTTTGTTTTTCAAAAAACATGAAAATTTTATATGACATTTCATCAAGTTCTTGTGGATGTTGATTTCATTGATTTTTATTAAATACATGCATTTATACATATCTATGTAAATAAAATGTACTCTAATAAACTTAATTTTGTTGAATATATGTTTTGTTTTCAATATTCTTTAACATGAAAAAATATTTCAGTCCTTTCAGTTTCGTGTTAAACAATTTTCACTGTATTTTAAAAGCTGCTTGACATGGTGACATTTAGACTTTTCCAGATATTTTACTTGTACTTTTTCCCCTTTTTAATATGCAGATATTATTTACAAATTACTACAATTAAAAAGTAACTGTTTCTCCTATTAAAATAACTTCACTACTACAGATACCACATCTCAGAATTGATATTAAATAATTTAAATATTGATACAAATAAAGATGAATTTTCCAAGATGACACCTATAGACTTTGAGAAAAATAAGTCAAATGCATATAACAAAATCCATAAATAAAACAACTAATTAAATCAACAAAAATCTTCGAATCTTAATATTTGCAATCTAAACTGAATTCCAAGAAAAGTACTACATTTAATTAATCTGCATAACATTTAAAATTACAAGAATTTTGTTAATACTCCACAAAATGACTGTCGAGAAAGTCTTTATTCAGGCTCTAATTTTAAACACAATACAAGAATCAAATAATACAAAAAAGAGATATAAAATCGATTTTGGATGCAATAATTGCATACAATTAGTAAATCTTATACTGTTATGAAATATTCAAAAACAGCCTCAATATATTGGGAATATACTATAAATAGAGAAGAATAAAATAGTGTTGTTATTAGTGACCAAGCAATAAATCAATTTTATTTTAGACAAAAATTCAAATATATTGTACAAGAAAGAACAGTTTCACATATACAGCATAATGTGTTACAGGTTTTCACGCCATTTATTAGGAAGCAATTTGCTAATCACAGATGATTAAAATTCACGCACGAAGAACAAAAAAATTTAATTGAGATAAAAAAATATAAAAACAAAAGAGCAAACATACAATTACAAGGGAAAATAATCTTCTAAGCAAACTTAAAAGGAAAAAAAATAGTTTTTTACAAATAACTGAAGACAGAGTTTTAATGAAAGTAAATATTGCAATCAGATGATAAATTTTACCCCATAAAGCAAAGCTCCTAGTCTAGAACCAACATCAAGAACGACTTTATCTTTTAGATCTGGTAAGATGTATCGAAATATAAATTCTGACCTTTGGACTGATGCTGAGTGGGAAACAAATGCTAGAAATGAAAAACATTTCAATTCTGTTATGTACTTTTCTCTTCATACTATATTTACATTCAAAAATAATTAATTTAAATAATAAATAATTAATTTTCCATTGTGCATATTTCATTAAAAATATGTTTTAAACATAAGCAATACTTGCATAAAAAAGCATCATTCAGTAAACAATGTAGTAAAATCTTTCAGCCACTAGAATATCAATTGCATAATATAAAACTATCTAAAAAAAATATTGAAACCTACTAAATAGTTAAAACAACAAAAACTATATATACACGATTTACAGAAATTTTTCAATTTATACTCATTATACACATTAGATTTCCACTTCTACTTTTTTATTCAACACTTTCATTTAAAAAAAAATTTAATGAAGCAAATTACAACTAATGGAAAAATTCATATGGCTGGTATATAGATATTTGATTCTCAACAATAATTTCTTTAGCTTAATTACACAAACACACTTAATAATGAAAAAACTACACCAAGAAGGAGTGTAACAAACATGCAAATCATTCATTGAATGAATATACCTATACAAATAAATAAATTATATTAATATCTGGAGCCAGAGATGTTCTATGTTGATGAAATAAATGCATAAGAGGGATCAATAAAGGGCGAGAGGCATCAAGAATCCATTTCATAAGTGTAAATTTAGTAGGTGTTTCAGATTTCTTAAACTATATGCTTAGAAATCATTTAGTAAAGGACAAATATCAGATACACTTTTCGGAAAGGCAGAATTAGGTACTTCCTTATTATTATAGCCTTTGTTTTTAAACAGCAAGAAGAGACTCCAGGATTCTTGCAAAATTCATGCTTACTTCTCCCATACACTTTGTGGCTGCCATGTTTCCATGACTACTTTTAACCGCTTGCCTGATTATCCCGAGTTATCTCGGGTTCGTATATATTGCAGTTAATTATTATCCCGAGAAAACTCGGGCGAAGCAGAATTTGTTAGTACGATTTCTTTTATCACAGTTTTACTCGGTCTGGAGGAAATGAAAAAAAATATTCAGCTTTGATTGGCAGTTTGCCAAATTTTGTTGGTTGCACGGTTCTTTTGAAGGGACTGGTCGCGTGTTTCCCTATTGTATAATATACGTTGGCTTGTGGATTAGTAATGTCTAAAGAAGGATACATGCGTTGGAAAAAAATAAAATAATGGCGATGATGGAAGATAGCGAAAGCGATGATTTTTCAGATAGTGATTATGAAAAGGTGAGGGGGGGAAATCAAATCCAGCGGTACGCCAGTAAGAAAAGAGACCAGATACCAGTGTAGAACGTCAGGTATCACTCTGTGTTGTCCCTTGTTTCAAAAACTATCATACAAAGATTAATATTTAACTTTTTTCGTTTGCCCAAGATAACTCGGGATAGTAAACTAATATTAAAAATAAATGCTTTTACACATTCAAAAAATTAAAAATTCAACTTAAAATCTACATAATTTGATTTGTTTCGTTTTGTCGTATTTAATAATAATAATAAAAAAAAATGTGATGATTTTTTGCAATTTTTTTCAAAAAAATTTGTAAGGGAAGCGGTTAATATGGCATCAAAAGCATTTTCTTGTACCAAGGACTTCTGCTACATGAAATCCACATGGTAAAACACATGAAGATGCCAGACCATGTCTTGTTGATTCTTATTCCACCACATAGAGAAGTGCTATTTTGTGCATGAGCAGCTGTTGTTGGATCAATAAAAATTTATGGAATGCCGCTAACAGCTTTATCCAGTTTTTACTTTCTTGTACGAAGTAAAAAGGAAGTATCGTAATCGAGAAATGTTTCAGGCAGCATATTTCAACGAAAATATCTATTTTGACAGCTATCGAATGCAATTTAACGATGTTTTTGCTTGATATCTATACATAAGGACAGAACAAAAGACTCGTTTCCTCCAAAAAAATTACAAAACTGCTTTAAAATTAATTCTGAAGAGAATTTTTCATGGCGTCTGTACGACCGTATGTACGTATCTCGCATAACTCAACGAGGAGCCTCAGAATGTTGAAATTTTGTATATAGGACTGCTATAACATGTAGATGTGCACCTCGTATTTTGGTTGCATCCGCCGCACCAAACGTATAAAAATACTATATTTATATATATATCCACTGTGTTACTCGGCTCAGTTGATCTCAGTTTTCTTTACTCTTATATGTTGTAAATTGTATATTTTTGCTTTAAAAATGATTGATTGAATTATTTGTTGTTTTACCTTCCGGTTAAGGTTTTTATGCCTTTCGTAATTCTGGAAGCAATATTTTTTACAATTATCAACAATTTAAAAGCTGTTTAAGTGCGGTTAAGTTTTAAATAACATGGCGAACATATTTGTTTACATTTGAAACAGCAGAATTGTAGAGATTTGTTGCCAATCTAGAGAGACTAAGCCCTCGCAACAACAAAAATAACGCCTTCATTTATTATTGCCAATTAAATCATGCTTAATCCTTTCTGGGAATTTTTTCGAGGAAATAAGTGTTTAAGATTTACTTCGTAATTTTAATACAGATATTTGAGTTTTTATGTATTTTTGCCTTGTCGCGAAGTGAGAACTGAATTAATTGAATGAGAAATACTCAATCGTCTGTGAAAAACTGTTTCTTTTTTGTTTTGTTTGTTTAATTTCTTTTATACATCATTCTAGCTTTATTATAGTATTTGAATACAACATGTGGCAACGATTAGATAGTTCTATTCTTTAAATGATATAAATTTTGTGCATTGTGAGTTACAATATGAACGAAATATAATACTGTTAAGTGAATCTAGCACCAGAGTGTCGCTAGGGTAAACAAATGTTAGAGAGAATTTTAAAGAATGCATTTATTCTATTGTGGTTTATGCGCTATCGGCAAAGTAGATTTAAAATTCAGTCCAATAAGTTTAAATGAAATGCAAGAAAAATGCATATAATTTAATACTCCGTACAAAGAAGTCATGTGGTGTACACATCAGATTTTTTTACTTTATATGCCCGTTAACAGTTTGAATAAATTGTCAATTTTTTTGTACATAGTTGACAATTTTTGTCATGAGTGCGATTACCTCTCTACTCAGAATGTGAGTGAGGAAGAATTCACTGGTGTCTCATCATAACCCACCAAATATACAGTATCCTGTTGCTTTGTCCCATCCAAGAACAGATTTTTGCTTATATCCACAATTTCGACCACATATTTTCTAATTTGGTTGCAGGATTAAATGTTGAGAGTATACATTTTTCATAAACTGTTCTAATCAATAGTTGTATTTTCATAAAGGTTGAGCTATTTCTTCCAACATTAAATTAATGGCAGTTCATCTGCTCAACATTAAATCAGTAGGCTATTACAAACAGTATTCTGAAACTACTGAACCAGTAGTCAGAACATTTGCTTTTCCTTCACTTGCAACTTTTTACATGGCATCTCTGAATTCTTTCATGGATATGTAGTTTTATTAAATGACCCTTTTTTGCATATTCAGACAGAAGTAAAATGTATCTTTCCTGGAATAGCATCCTCCACACTTCTCGATATATCAGACATTTTAAACACATTTAAAAAAGAGAATTATGCGTGATCATGAACTTGCACATGGCTTACTCGGAGCTCTTCTCACCATGAGGAAACTATAAATGATTCTGTTCAGGACTGTCAACTACTTGATGATGGTTGGTGATTTATGGTTAATCTTGGCATAGTTTACAAAACAGAGGCTGTAATAATAAGGGGGTACCAATTATTTCTATAAAATCCTCATGAATCTTGCTCATAAATATTATTAGGCTTCAGAGCTATGGGATGGTCACATCACTATGTGTGTACAATGGATGTCCAAACTATTGCAGCTGTTGGCATCAGAAGTTGCAAGAAAGTTCTTCCCTGAATTACAGATACACTGATGCAATCATCTGACAGATGTCAGCATGTTTTGACATGCAGATTGTTAATATGCTCAATAAGCCCTGCAAAGTACTGCAAATAGTACCTGATGAATGAATGTTGACAATCCCAATGATAAACTGACTATCATAGAATTTTTATGTTGATTGAAAGCCACTGAAAAAGTCTTCTAATTCTTCTCTTTTTGGTATCGAAGATGAAATGGGATCACAAATAGATCGTTATTGTTTTCAATGACATTTTCACTCTCTATTATTATTACATTTTTATGCTTACTTATTATTACAGTACCTCCTACAATTTACATTTAATTACCATGATAAATGGATCCATGCCTTGGATAATCTGGTGAAAGCAAGATCCTGGTTTCACTTACAACTACCTTGCTTCAGCTAGGTATGCATCATGTTGTAGGCTACTATTCTGCACAACAGCAAGCCACCTCTATATGCCTCACTGAAACACTGAACCGAAACACTCTCAGCTGTACAGCATTCTGCATCTCATTCTGTTACCACTTCTGCCTGCCCCATTTTCTAGCAAAATTTATAATACTCCTACAACCTCCAAACAGCGCTTACAAAATATTAAGCCCCATCATGACCAATATTATTTCCTGCATTTTCACAAAAATTAGCTCAATCTGGTACTCATTTATCTGCAGCAGCTATGTCTGCTTTTTTTATTTGAAATAATTAAAAAAATTATTGTAAGATAGTGGTTTTACATGATAAGTTTCCAATCTTTGTACTTATCTAGTATTCTGATTAAAATTTTCATATCTTTCATTACTGAATTTTGAGCCTCAAACTTATCAGAAACTTTACTTATTTACTTACAAGAAAAGCTTTAAACCAGGATACTTGTAAACCAATGACAAAAAACATTTTCAATGTCAAGGTGTGGAACAAAATAAAAGTTTCTCTTGAACTAGTTTCATTTTGACATTTCATGCTTATTCTTTAAAACTGTTAAAAATAAAATAAAATTAATCTATACTATAATAAAATAAAAAAATTCTACACTCTAGTACACATTTATGATTTTTATGTTTTTGTAAAATCTTTCTTTTAAAATGGAGCT